TGAGGTCAAAGAGAGAAAAACTTGTCATCTGGTTACTGAAAGGTTTTTTACTGCTTTAATAGAAAAGTAAAATTGCTTCTTCTCTTGGTGTTACATGCCCCTCAGCCTTGCCATGGTTAAATTTAAAGCAAAGCCCAGTTTGTCACTCATTTTTCAAAACAAAATCATTTCAATTACTAATTTAATTTATAATGGTAAAAACAGAGAACCTTATGTGGTGGTTTGAAAGAAAATGGACCCCAAAGGGAGCAGCACTATCAGGAAGTGTGAGTTTGTTGGAGTAGATGTGGCATTGTTAGAGGAAGTGTGTCACTGTGGGGCTGGGCTTTGAGGTCTCCTGGGCTCAAGCTACACTCAGAGTGACTCAAACTCTTCTGCCTGTGGATCAGGATGTAGAGCTTTCATCTCCTTCTCCAGCACCATGTCTGCCTGCATGCTGCCATGTCCCACCATGATGATAATGGACTAAATCTCTGAACCTGTAAGCCACCCCAATTAAATGCTTTCCTGTGTAACCGTTGCTGTGATCATGGTATCTTGTCACAGCAATAGAAACCCTAACTGAGGCACCTTACTAAAAGAAAAAAGTGAAGATAATCTTGAAAAACCATGCTAGTAAGTTTAGTTTGGACCCTTAAGTAAGCCCTAGGAGGTCAAATGGCATGGGTGCAGGTAGCTGGTTATTCATGTATGGGTACTGTAGTTGGATCACTAACACAGTAACACAGAATTTTGAGATAGGTTTTTTTTGTTAAATGCCATGACCTGAGAAAAGCCAAAGACAACTTTTATTGCCATCACATGTCTTGCTAGCTAAACAGATTCTTCTGAAAATTCTTCTTGATCTGAGGACAGGAAATACATACAAATCAATCAGGATTGTTTTATTTTTTTCATATTCACTATGTTAAAAAGGAGAGCACAGTAGGTTCTGTTGGCATGTGTATATATGAAACAAACATACAATCTAACAATAACAATAAGAAACTGAACTTTGAAGCCACAGAGAAATACTACTAGATAATCTCATCCTTATTGCCTATTGTGATAGTCCTCTTTATTATGTGTTGGTGACATTAATTTCTAAATTATTAACCCTTTCATCAGTGGTATTTGTTCACAATGCTGTGTGATACGTCATAAATTCTGTGTATTTCAGATGTTCCTTCCAATGTACCTACATCTTGTTCTTTGAACTCTCCTTTACCTTCTTACCACAGTGACTCTGTTTTGTCCACATATCTCAGTCGTGTCGATAACACCGTTTAAAATCCCCCACAGTCTCTGTTTACCCACTCCCTCCTTGCCCCCATCCTTGTTCGTCCTTCTCTCCAGCACTTACGTCTTTTGACCATTCTTTTCTACTGTCCTTCCGTTCCTGTTCCATTCACCCGCTTGTCCAACAAATACTGACTGCTTTTGTGCTATACTGTGTTCTAAGTCCCGGAGATAGAAACCTTCTGCCTTCCTGTTAATTGTAGTCCGTTCCTGTCGGTGACAACAGGACATACTAAGTCACTAAACTTTCTAGAACTGCATTCTATTAGAAGAGGGGTGTGGGTTTTAAAGCAATGGACTGCAAAGCCATCAAATGATGTCTGGGGCTAATGTGCTTCGTAAAGAAAGAGCCCCAAGTGCAAAGTATCTGAGACAGAAAGGCATGCTGTGTGTAAGCAGTAAGAGAGACGAAAGAAATGTGACTGGAATAGAAAGGGGAAGAAGAGGAGAAGGGGAGGGGGCGTGAGGAGTGAGATGACAGAAGTGACCAGAGAACAAAACCTGTAGGCATTTGTAAGTTCATGTGAAAGTCGCTGTGAATGTGTTGGACGGCTTTGAGCAGAACACCGTGATAAAGTTGACATTTCGGTTGGATTCTTTTTTACTACGTTAAGACAGATTGTCGACAATTCAGATAGAAGCAGTAACTCTCTGTTAGACACCATTGCCATTCATGTGAGATATTGAGTGGCTCATGTCACTTCTCTAGTGTTGGTGGCTTGGTCTAATAAAGTTGTGGTAGTGAGTTGAGAAATTCTGAGAATGCTTTGGTAGGAAAGCCAGTAGATTCCATAGAGAAAATAAAGGGAAAAAAACGTGAACCTCAACCATTATTCTGTGGGTTGTAGCTGGAGCAGTTGCTGTGGGATAGGTCTTGAAATGTGGATGATAATCAAGCAGTGGATACGGGAGCCTGGACTTCAGGAGAGGAATACCCAGATCTGACACTCAGACTGTGATTGTTCTCTTTAACACTGTTTACCAGTTTCGCTCGGTTCTAGCAAATGGACACAGGGAGCTTCTCGAAAACGCCTGGGTTAATATATTCTCTGGAGCCTTACTTCTCTGAAGCACCTCCCACCTTACAAGTTTCTACACAAGAGGCAGCTTCCTCCCCCTCCTTTGGTCTGTGATGGCACTCATTTTGAGTGCAGTCTACCCCAGCTCACCTGCATAAAGCAACTCCTGGCTGGTGGTTTCAGATGCATTTCTCTGTCTTTTGCTATTCACATTCTTGGGTGCGTGGGATACTGCAAGTGTTGGGTGATAGATAAATACTTCTGTCTTCCTTGTTTGCCATTTGCTGATTAATGAAACTTACAAATTTATGAATTGTATAGGTGAGATAATAAAAGCGACATGTTGATGTTTTTCAGGTACCACTAAATGTTATGCTGAAAAGTTCATTGGGTACAATGCTTACTGTGTAAGCATGAAGAACTGATTTTGGATCAACAGTAGCCATAGAAAAACTAGTGTAGTAACCCCATCTTGAGCCGGGTTGGGGACTCCTTGGCCAGACAGCCTAGCTGAAATTTATGAGTTGTGAGTTCAGTGTGAAACGCTGACTCAAAAAACAATGTGAGAGGGCTGGTGAGATTTTTCAACAGCTCTTTGAAAAGACACAGATTTGACCCCCAGTTCCTACATGGTGACTCACAACCATCCTAACTCCAATCCCAGGGGAGTCAGCACCTGACCTCTGTGTGTACCAGACATGCCTTTGGAGCACATGTAGACATGCAGGCAAAACATTCATACTTGTAAGATAAATAAATCTTTAGAAGATTAAAAACTAAATAAAACGTGGAAAATGATTGAGGAAAACACCTGGCATCGACCTCTAGCCTCTATGTGCTTGTCCATATCAGGCACACATACCTGTCCATGCGTACACACACACTTACGCACACACGTACACACGCGCACGCACGCACACTTAAAGACTGTGCACAGACACACATGCATGCATACCACACCCACACCCACACATACAGAGACACACATACTTCAGGTTTTTTTGAATCTACAATTGCGTAGGAATTCGATTATGTTAACTTGGCCTACATGTTAGCTTTTTGCCACTGTTTCTTACCATTAGTTTTTTTTTTTTCTCTGAGTTCTTATATTCTTAACTTCCTCAGTAAATCCCCATGGGCTACTCCATTGCAAACGCTGCTATTGCCTGTGGTTTATGGGCCTCTGTGGATACAGGGGCACATATGTACATCAAAGGTTCTCACAAAACTTGACTGGTAGTGTTAAAAGTAGGTGTGTGGGGCTTTGGAGGCCCAAAATGAATGTGTTCTCATAGGCCACATGTGGCCTGTTGTATGTATGTTGAACTCCCTGCCCCACAAACATTGTCACAGACATCTCCATCTGACCTTGCCAGTCTTATAAATGTGTGGGTAGCATCTGCTTCTCCATCTGACTATCAAGTCCCATTGAGAGCTAGAGGAACAGAACTTGAGAAGTAATCCGAAGATGACCCTGCATACCCACCTGCAGCTTGTACCACCGATCCTCTGGTGTTTTTAATCAGCCTTGCTAAATACTTCCTGTAGGGAAAATGAGTCGTGATGAGGAGTAATCTTGCTGCTGCTTCTGAAAAATTCAGCGACTGATTTACAGATATTACTTATTCATCATGCTATCCCATTGCAGAAGATGGGAATTAAATTCCAGCCTTAAAGGTTATAGGATCCCTCCAGGCCTGGAGTATATTAATGAAAAGTTGAGAAACTGAAAAAGATTCAAGAATCTACACAGTGAATAATCTTCCATCAAGCCTGGATTCTGATGTGAATTTAGACACAGGGTAGGAATATGGCAGTGCACTTCTCTTCAATTTAAAATAAACTGACTTTTGTGTTTGTGGGGCCACAAATAGTCCTAACTCAGCTGAACTGGAGTAGGCTTCACCATGAGAAATATAATGCACAGGTAGAATCTGTTTACCTAACTCATTCCGAACAGAAGCTGACTGTCTCACATGTTGGATTTCTTACAATGAGTTCCCACTTTCCTTAAAAGATGAACCCCTGTAAAGAGAAGCCTTCCCGCCAGCCTGGTTCCAGAGCCGCATCAGTCCCAAATAAACACACAGGAGGCTACATTAATTATGAAGCTGTTGGTCTTGCTTGTTTCTTACTGGCTAGCTCTGACTTAAGTATTTATCCCATAATTGTACTCATGTCCTAAATTATTTTTATGACATCCTGCCATCTTCACAGGCCACATATTATCTGAATTTTAATATATTTTGAAACCTACAACCAAAATACTCCACTTTACACAACTTGCATTACTTAGATTGATGATTACTGTATGCTGTAAAATGAATGCAAGGTTTTGTACAATATCATAATTAAACTCCCTTTTCCCCCTTCTGCTTCGCGACTGGTCTGTGCGCTTTGACTACATAGACATACTATTAATCAGATAAGCTGTCTGCATGGAAGGAGCATATGAATGGCGTGCTAAAGTGAGGCCTGCTGGTCTGCCAGGCGAACAAGCAGACAGTGAAGACCGCACTTGCTCGTAAAGAAGTGTATCTCGACTCCCAGCTCTGTCACCTTGCAGCTCAGGGGCCCTGAACAAGCACCTTGTTTCTTCCTTTGTGGGGTGGAAGTGATGCATGCACCCCTTTTTGCTTGCCGAGTGTTACAGGAATGAAAGTGTTCACGTATGTGACTCCCAGTCTTGCCTCCCTTGCTCAGGTTGACGTGATCGTGACCCTGGGAGGACTCGGTGGGCGTTTTGACCAGATCATGGCATCCGTGAATACTCTTTTCCAAGCCACTCACATCACTCCTGTGCCAATTATAATAATCCAAGAGGAATCTCTCATCTATCTCCTCCAACCCGTGAGTAAACAGTAACCCTCATCAGGACTGTGGTCACAGAGCCTGATTCCTGTAGAATAGGGGAACCCTTTGGCCTGGCACAAAGGTAGCAAAACAGTCAGAATTTCTGTGGGTTGTTGTTTTAGTTTTTGTTTTTGTTCTGAGAAAAGGAAAATAAAAATCTTGTAACTTTTAAATAAATTCCCTAAGAATTAAATTTAGCACTTTTGCGTTTTGAGCAGGTGAATATGAAGGACACTTGAGAAAAGCCTCAACAGGGAAACACAGTCTTAGCAAATATTTCATTATAATTGGAAACTGGATTTGATTTTTTTTCAACACATTAAAGAAAATCTTTAGCTTTTACTCTTCATAAGTTGCCTGCTTGTTAATTTTATTCCCTCAAGTAATTTTCTAAAGATGATGTCACTCATTTCCAATGGTTAATGTCAAGAAATTTTCTGCCAGTGTAGTGAACAGAATAGAATTCTTACCATAGAATCAATTTCCATAAACTTGACTGGGACCTGCAGTTTAACTTACTCTGCATGACAATTTTTAAGGATAGTGGGTCATTCCTTTTTGTCTCTCACTGTGCTGTGGTATTTACAATGTTGTGTCTACCTCATCGACTCCATGCCTACATATAGCATGCCAGCATTGTAAACTGTTCTTTTGCTAATACAGCACTTCTCATATAGTATACTCACTTTTCTTCATCAAGTTCTGCTTTGTTTGTTTGGTGGGTTTTTGGTTTTTTGTTTTTTGTGCCTAATTTCATTGCCTAACTTGTTTCCTGCAAATCTGTGAGCCACCACGTGGTTGCTGGAAATTGAACTCGGGACCTTCGGAAGAGCAAGCAGTGGTCTTAACCTCTGAGCCGCCTCTCCAGCCCCTCCTGAAAAATATGTGTAAAGAAAGCAGAATTGAGATTGCAGATCTCTTGCCACCCTCTTCGTCAGCCAGCAGACTTGCAGTGCTCGATGGCTTTCTGTCTCAGGGTGTGGCAGGGAGGATGAAGGGAAGTAGTTACATTTGATCTTGGCCCTCCAGTCATTGTGCAGTGAAGGGGACAGTTACAAAAACATAATCATCATCGCATTGGTCAGTTTTCTGCTGTAATAAATTCCCGCAGGCATCAACTGCTAAAAAAGAAAGGATTACTACCACCCGTAGCCTCAGCAGCTGCAAGCCCCGGGACCCACTGGCCCTGTCCAGTCAGTAGTTACATGGTAGTAACATGTGATGAGATAAAACCACTCCCCCTTGTGTCTGGGACACAAGAGAAACAAGAAGGGAGCGTGTCCTGTGGCCACAGGTCCCCGTTACAGGTCACACCCTCAATGATGTGGATTCCTCCCCACTAGAATCCATGTTCCACAATCCACAAGACTCTGTCTCCACATTCCCAGTGCTGCCCAGAAGTGCCACTCTGGGCATAAAGCTTCGTCACATGGCCTGTTGGGGACACATAGGGTCCGGTGTGTAGTGATAATACAGTTGGGGACACATAGGGATAATGCAATGATTAAAGATCAGTAGATGAACATATTGAGAGAATAAATGTGGGCATCATGGGAATGAGGAAAGGATTCGCAGAAAGGACGCCGTTTATCCACTCAACCCTTTATTCACTGAACTCAGCGTTACTGAGAATACACCTACTGATGAGAAGCCCCTTTTCTAGCAATACAGCAGTCCAAATCAGAAGGAAACTGCCTGCTTCTTTGGGCATTTTACTGAGTTTATGCTCCCACATACTTCCCCAGAGTGAGTCAAGGTCTGCTATGGGAGAGAATGGGAAAGCCCTTGCTGACGGGAGATATAGGCGAAGAGCAACAGAGGTTCAGGGTGTATCATAAAGCGTGGTGGGAGTGTTACCTGCAAAACACGCTCCTAATATGTCTTCACTCTGCCCTGCGCCTTCTCTGTAACTGGCACGTTCTAGGCTCTCTGAGCCTCTGCACTCCCCCATGACTACACCGCAGTCTGTCAGTGCTCTGCAAAGACTCACGGCCACTGCTTCCATACACCGCTCTGTGGCTTTCCCCGCTCTGCAGCCGTCCAGCTGGGTGTGGTTAAGAGTCCCTGATTGTGTCACGTGCTTCTCTTTCATAACTTCTGCGTCTCATTCTCCCTGGACATCGCCCTGGAGCCCTTGGCCTTCTCCGACTCCTCTACATTCTTTGCTCGGGCACTATCCCCTGAGACTCCAATCTCTGCCCCTGTCCCATATTCCTCTATACTTGCCCCTAGTCCACCGTTGACTCTTAAAATGTAAGCATCACACTTTCTTGGTATTCTGGAATAATCCGCATATGTCAGGCGACTTGGCCTTTTTGCTTTGTAACTTCACTGTCTTCTGTGTTGTGTGGCTTCAAGCTGTGATTTCGCAACGTCTAATTCTCTGCCCTGCCCAGAGGGAATTGTCTGAGGCCTGGGCTAAAAGAAAGCCTGAGGTAAACATACGTTTGCTTTCTTCAACCTCCTGAGTGGACACCTACCCCTTCTCACGGGACCGTTAGCAACATGGAACGATCTATCTCAGGCTCTTTTGTGGCATCCGTTAGCGTTACTCATTATCGTAATGCCTCTGGGTCTTTGATGTCCCATGATAAAATGTGCCATCTAATGGCCCTTTCTCAGCTTTGCTGAGGCAAGGTTTGGTTGGGCCGTTTTCCCAGCATCCACTGGGAGTGTTTATATTCATTTTGATACGAAGGCTCTCTGCTTTTTATGGGAGTCGCCCCAGACCTTGGGCATTAGCTGGCATTCACCGATTTGGAAAGTGCTGTCAAGATGAAAGTTAGATTTGGTCTTTTGAATGGGAACTTGTTTTATTTCTAAGTATTGTTATTTTTTTTAAACAGATCTGATGTCATTTAAAATAATCCTTCTAGTATTTTTCTAGTATTTTCTGTGACATAGCATGCAATGAACTACACTGTCTCTCTAAACCACTAGTAATCATTAGCCCCAAGTCTGACGGATTTTTTTGGGGGGGGACTGAAAGTTTTCTCAACAATTTAATATAGTTTTGACAGCTTTGTCTATTTAACCTTGTATACAGCTAGAGCATATGGGGCGGGGGGGGGCAGCCGGGGGGAAGGGTTACTCTGCCAAAGCAATACTCCCATTGTAACGACCACCTTAGGCAAGAATGCAGGTAGCCTGGGAACAGGAGCTGTGGGCCCCGGAAGAGAGGGCATCCTATAAGCACAGAGCTCTGCCTCCGAATAGCTGCAAGAAATTCCAGTCCTGAGAATGTTCAGTCACCTGGCCCACACACGATTTATGAGAGTACAGCACAGTGTGTCACCCTGTGCTTGGTAAAGGAGAATTCCGGAGTCTCCCGGCATGCTAGCCAGGATGTGTTACTGTGTGTGTGAGACCCACATCTCCCAAGTACAATACCATCTATATTTTCCCCGCAGTGATTTTGGCTTTACATCCTTGAAATAATTAGAAAAATTCCTTACCCTCGAGAAATAACCATTACATAGAACAGGGCCAAAAGCTCACGTTGGATCAACGTCCCTTTGAAGACAGTCAAGGCCTGGCTCCAGCCTCTGTCAGTGGATTAACATTGCCATCTTTTCACTGTATTCTAGGGAGATCTTTTTAGACACCAACTCTAGTCCCTGTTTTCTACAACATGTTTAGTAAAAGAATGGCAAGAAAATTCTGCCCCTACAAATTAAAAGGCGAATGACAGTGTGAGGGCTCTGATCCGTCGATGGTTCTGTGTGACCTTCATGCACATAAGCTGGTTTGCTTGTGTGTGTATGAAATATGAATGACCTAAAGATGGTATTGATACTAACGTTTGCTAAAACTTCTTAACAGTGATTGTACATCTTAGAGAAGAACTGGAGTGGTTGGAATTAAACTGTTTAGATCTGCTGATATGTATGCTATATAACTATAACTGGTCATGGACCCTTCTAAGCCTTGGAACTGAAGTGTCTTTATTTTGATCTTTTTAAAAGCTTCTGTATTAAGCAATCATAGGTTCTGTGATGTTCTGTTTCAGACAGTGAAACGTAACTAGCTTGTATAAGTAAGTGATTTTCTGTGATTGAGTAGAGTTACTTTAGCCATTTGGGGCTGAGCTGTGAGGCCATTTAGTGTATTCCAGTTCGTGCCCCCTTTCTAATTCCGTTCCTGTGTCTTCATGTGTATAACATATCATGTGAAATGTGTGCGTTGACTGTGTGCATACACTAGCTGTACATTTGAGAGGAACACACAGAGGAGATGCTCCACGAGACACTGCTCATGGTTACTAGGAATAATAATCATGATCTTAACTAGAAAAAGAAACATTATAAATGTTAATTGAAAATACTTTCAAATATTGTAGAGTTGGGCTCAAGGAAACCCAGATCGTTATGCCTTGGCATCAAATGAAGAATGGCTTCGGTTGGTTAAATTAATATCAATAGTCCACTCTGAGGTAGAGTGATACTTTTGATGCTTTAATATAAAAGCTCTCACTTAACCTTCATAACTACTGTAAGAAAAGCAAGGCAGATCATATGGTTATACTGTGAGGGTTCTGACTCAACACTTTTTCCACAGCACTACATATCCTCTCTCATGGAATTAATGGACTAAGAAAAGAATGACGAGCTCTTAAAACAAGTCATGGCCCATAGGCACGTAATTATCCATAAGCAATGTGTAACTGAATGGCCAGTTGATGTGTGTGTGTGGGGGTGTGTGTGTGTAGGTTCAGATATTTATTTGTATATATAACATGTATGCATATGTATATTTTACATATACATATAAAATCCTATCTGATATTGATAATTTCGCCTACAACATTGATTTCAAATAGTAAAAATATTAGGTGCGCTACAGTTTTTGACAGTGCTAGAGATCAAATCCAGGGCCCCATATATGCTAGGCATGCACAGTACCACTGGTCCACATCTACACCTTAATTGTGAGTACATTTTAAGGCTACAAGTTTTCCTTGCTACTATAATCCCAAATTAAGAAAGACTATTTTCTGG